TTTGTATGCCGTGTGCGCATATCTGGCGCATACAAAGAAATATATATATCTATGAGCAAATATATTTATATTAACAGTGAGTAAACTTATGAATATCTAACAAATTATTAATCTCAAAGGATTCTCAGACCAAAATGGATATACCGTTTTTCATTAAAAACTATGAAATAAATTAGTTTGTTATTAAATATTGACGTCAGCATGTGCCATAGAAGGAAGCATGTGTCATTTTCTCATCTTACGGCATAATACAAAATTTAGTTTTCATACTAAACAGTGGTAATATGTCATGAACCAACAACACTGTCTTTTTATTTGTTATTGTGTATATGAATTTTCTCCGAACTTTGCACTTAACAATATTTTTACTTTATGTTATTTGAGTGCAGTTCAACCATAATACACATACAACATGTGTATACAAAACCATGACGAAAGCGCTGGAAATTTAATTGCCAAATAATCAATATGGAAACATCCGCACTCCTCCCATCATCGCTTTTCGCAAAAACGGTTTAGAAGTGGAACATTCGGGGTATTTTCCGGTCCACTGAAGCGTGTAAGAACTCTTTGCGACTTCCACGCTGTACAATATGACGCCGATTACCGGAGTTCTGATAGAATGTGGTATATCCATTTTTTGCCACTCTACTACTCTGATTGCATGCTGGGAATATGATCGCCACGCTCAATTTTATAAATGCATTGATGCCATATATACTGTTCCAAACCATTAGCGACGCCGGTTCATCACGCTGATTAGTAATCTAGGCACGTGGTGCCAAAGTAATAAATAACATTATCACATACTAAGTACATCTGAGTCTGAAAATTGAACAAATATTGTATGTTTGGTCGAATGTAGTTTTATGGGAAAATCTACAAAATATCTCACTAAGTAGTCCTTCATTCTCATTCGGACCTCCCGTATTACACAGATTTTATGTTTATTGATCGGCATTTGAAATGGAAATACGAGAATTGGGCGATTTATTTATTTAATAACGTTGCTGTAGTTGTAACAAAGGGGTGATTTGAGAATATGCGATGTGAGCAAAATTTATATTATCAAACGCTTTGTAATCTGTTCATCATAGACACATACTTTGTACATACATAGCAGGTATTAAAATTAAATGAATTGACAGCGGCAATAAACCAAACGTGATATTTACACCACTTGTGAAACAAACATGAACACAACTTTTGTTCAATGCGCCTTTTAAAAACCGCAGTGTTCAACGTGCTCTAAACTGTGTGAACTTCAGACAAAGTAATAACTGCCTTTATGTTCCAATGACTGACAACAAACATTACTCGGAATTTCCATTAAAACCTGTCATAAACGGACATCATCAAAGAGTTAGATGTCAACATAAGACGATATAATGTACGATAAGATAATGATACCGGAGTCTCGAAGTAACGAATTCAGACCCTTATCAACTGTAGTGAAAACAACAATGATAAGTGTCAATCTACCGGGAATCGACACATCTATCAATAATTTGATATTGCTCTCAGAGGACACAATTCATCGGTATATTATATGTAACTTTTGATAAGAACTAGTATTTCAAATTCAGAATTATGCTACGTGACCTGGTTTTTTATGTCAAGAAGATCCAGAGTTGATCATTTCATAGTCATGTAACGTATCACGTATATTACGACAATGTAGTTCTTATTCGCAGTGATAAACTAGGTTGGAACAGCTAGTAGTGAATGGTATTACCAATAGCTGCATATGTTTAATGGCACATATTGTTAATATTGCTAATAATGTTGTAGTCTTTTTAAGCAGATTCAGAATAGTCTGAATATATAACGCAATGACGTAACTCAATGTCCAAATAAGGTCAAATGTATGCTATACTCTCAGCCAGTGTGTTCTTTTCGCAAGTCTTAATTATTATTTACATGGCGAGCCAAATAACTAGATATGCCTAAACACACTCACATCACTTGTCAGTAGCAAATATTATATTCATATAAAACAATGATAACAATTAAAGTTATGGTTATATATGCAATTTAGATAATGTATGAAATAACGTGCATTATTTGAGTATTATAGTGAATATTATTCAAAGTGAAATTATGTGCAATGATTGGTTACACAATTAAGTTAATATTCGATATATGTCCATTATAGTCATGCATTTGTCTGTGATATTGTGGGCCAGTGCTGTGCCTTATACAATACACTTACACGTTAACTTTAGTGTTTAATTGTTGCTGCCTTAGGGACACATAACATATACATATATATGTATAACATGCCGTGGAATGAGTGACGTAACAGTGAAGTGATGACGTTGACATACGATCCCGGATGAAGCGATATCACGGATGGACGCACTTCGTAAAATTTACTTACTTTCGTTGGTACTGCTTATAATAATTCCGGAGTAAATTTTGAAGCATCGTCTTGGCTTGGTACACATCGTCGTCGTCTCTTTTGGCGACATTGCTGAAAAGTTGTTCGTACTCATTCCGGCTTAAATTGTCGTCGGGGATAGGAATCGGGTAGAAGTCACTATTTCGTTTTTCGTTGACGTCATAAGCATGCATGACATCATCAAGGTCATCTCTCTTACCTTGTCGCCTTGGTCCCTTACATTTGTTTTTGATGCCTAGTTGACAATAGTTAATTGCTTCACAGAAGGATAGGAGTACAGTCAGTGTAAGAAAGAATACAATTATCGCCTTTGTCGACATGTCTGTGTGGAAAAAAACAAGTGGAAACAGGAAATACATGTGGTTATTATACTAAGACTGTTACAGTCAATATATTACATGTAGGAGGCACATTCTGATAAAAAGAAACTTGTTAAGTTTATAATAATGCATCAAATTAACGTATTTAATCGACTAGAAGTAGAAATAACATCAAACACACAAGATATCCAAATCCAAGGCTAATTTATACGTCCAAGAGCACAAAACAAATGAATGACAACAATAGTACACTACATAGAATATACTAGAACCAAAAATAAAACAAGTACGCCACACTACTTAGCCAGATTAGTAAAATAAAGAGATTTGGATTTCATGGTATACGCAAAGTTTTGTAAGGTGCTTCATATGTGGCACTCTAAATCTATAATTGTGAATCATAATAACGAGGTCGACACCAGATAAGTGACATGTAAAATAGTTTTAGTGTATTTCATTACAGTCACGCTCAAAATCACTTTGAATGTTAGACTTGTCTTTTTCTATAAAACCCCTGCGTTATGGTATTGACAATGGAAAAAAAAAGATTGTGAAGTTCAGCTGCAATTATCATTACAATATAACTATTGACTTTAGGATTGATTATGTTAAATTAGTTCAATCGTGAATATATCTCAATGTGAAATTGAAGTCTTTGGCTTTAGGTATCCAGAAATAGAAATATATCAAGAGGGCATATTATTTACTAATTGAATGACAAAAATATAAATCCTCTGAACATCGGAGCAGTTACACTGGTATACACATTTTATCATTACCTTTATTCATTCATATTATTTCAATATGATATAATGATAGCGTGACGTGAAGCATACGATGACGTCACAACAATTACTACATGCTTACATTTCATGCATATTCGTTTAAACATTTCATAATTATACCATGTAGACGTTTGTTTTTGCTCATTGACGCTTTACTGCTTTATTGCTAAAATTGGTAAGTTATTTTGCGCAGATTGCCAAAGTATTGCCGAATTTTATCTTCTGTCTATAAACGTGAATGTATCGAGTAACCATTAGAGTACAGCGGCTGTGATAAACGATATGCTATATTACACTACGCATTGTGAGTGCGGTGTATTGTATTTTCACAAATAAATTACCAAATTTAAAGGTATCGCACAAATCGCACGCTTGCATTACAGTATAAGTATCCTATAATATAGGGTATATTGCTTATAACAAAAATGGATGCGTGGCAGAGCGACGAATTCAAATCTAGTATTGGCTACATCACAGACGCCGAATATTGGATACGGGATACACATCTGTGCGGTTTGTATGTGTAGTGTAATTGCTACATCCCAAAATATACACAAACTCCAACATGGGCGCAGATGGTTCGATAAAAACAATTACTGTTAAATATCAAAGTGCGCGTGGCGTATTAATATCTTTCATCGATTTCGGTAGAAACTTTGATCCTCCGATAAGTGCGTCCTAGCTGTCTCTATTCAATATTGTTAAAACTCGGTTGTCACAGTTATTAATCACTTATTTGTATGTTGTCATTTACAATTAACAATGACACTGACATTGTCGGCACATCAAGTTGTACAATTATCTGAAGGCCCTCTCACATAATATTCAACAATTAACATGAGAACTGTTTTCGGTTGTGTCATTCTTTCAACATGTACCTAGAGTAAATATAAAACTTTCTCATGATAACTGCCGATACCCATGCAACTACAACGAAAACCGAGTGTCTTCTCACATATTTGGAATCAAACAGTAAGCCATCATAATATCTATATGTTAGAAAAATGAGCCGAATCATCAGGTGACATTCGGATAACTAAACACAACTACTTTCGCAGACGGCAATACATTTTTACTGAAGCATAAACACCACACCAAATATTAAACAAGACAACTAAAGTGAAATGCGTAAACATTTATATACTCAAAACGTGTGGTGTTGTTTGGTTCTAACTTATGCATCGCATATTGCCAACACATGCGCATATTTAGGTATAGAATATTCCAACATTGACAATTTGACGCCGTATTTGCAAAGCGGATAGTAATAGCGGCCTTCCCTACGGAGACTTTCATCTGTCTTAATACTGTGGCAATTTACTCAGGAATAATATTTATTACCCGAAAATGTTGGCGAATAGAAATGCCTCATAAATAAACTTAAAATATGGTTAGAAATAAATGAAATGATTGAAAAGTGATGTTAATGAATATTTAAAAAAGAAAGACTTGTCAAAAATGATATAAATTTTAGTTTATCATGATAGTAACATTTATTGAAGAAAAAACTATTAACTGCCTTTTATTGTCATTGATATTTACTGACAGTCTAAAACGCAGACATTTTTTACAAACTAATTTGGAATAGTGTTAGTCATCATCAGCGGGTTATTTAATATCATGTTAAGAAAAAAACACTGCTAGCGACATGGCAACGGCGTTGACACGTATACGTGTCATTACTAAGGAATAAATTAAAGTCAAAATTCAGCATTCGCAAGTCATCAATAAATAATATAAACTGACGATTGTCTATTTTTCGGAGAATAGGTTACTAACAGATGTGCCATTACGTATATGGTACACCATACAGGCGCCTGCGGAAATACATCAAAGACTCAAGTTATTGAGGAAAAACACAAACCAATGTCAGTGTCAAGACAGAGGGCAGGTCCGAATAGCGTGTTTGCTACATGTACGCCGCAAGTTGTGTTTCGGTTCAGTTGCAACGCTTTCTAATTTGACGGGCTTCATGGAATGTATTTCACAAGACGTGAACGGTCGCATCAAACAATGCAGAAATCTTGACACACGTGTTCGATAAGCGTCTCTGCGATCACTCATTCTGTTCCTGACTGTATAAAGACAACTGCACTGAATGAAAATTGATCGGAATGATCTGTCACTTCTTCACACTGTTTGTTTCTCGATGTACAGCGACACTGTCAATGCATTCTATCAGCTTACCACTCGATGTAGTTATAATGAAATCATTGCGTTTTCAAAAAAAGATCAGTATTAATTAACACAGAGATGTGCTTTGTGTCGTTTTCTTGATTATTCGACATCCAACGGCCTCTATATGTCGCTTAAATTAAATTTTGCATTGTTGAACATTGAATGAAATTTTGCAAATCCCACTGCAAACATGGACATAGCAAGTAGGTTGAAAACAGATTAAGAATTTCTTATAATGAGAAGATATTAGGTGATGATATTTCATTACAATCTTTCTATAACACATCATACATATTACTGATTTATAAAATGTACGAAAGATATCTACACACCCAAAATGATGAATTATTCAGTCATGCACCTTCTGAGTGATTCATTAGCCTTGACACATATATATATCTACACTGATGTTTTAATTGCATGATATTAAGGGTTTTTCTTGTCCTGGGTCATAGTTATATTTATATTAGCGATGAATGTAGATCCGATATCGAAGAGCGTTTGATTGTTACGTTTTGGAATGATAACGTCAGCCTAGTTTTTCGCAAACACGATAGATGATTATTTGGGGATATAAAAAATGACGTCATGCAAACCGCCCAGAATTGTGGAAACGATTAAAATTGCACAGTCTATTGACTGTGTCCGCGTCATTAGATTTATCTGGAGAATAATTCGTCATAATAAATATTGCACCGCTGTGGAACATTTTGTTTTCATTCGGACATATACTAATCTAAGAAACCTAAAAGAAATATTTTCAACTGCACCACAGTGGGTTTTCTAGTGCACTGATAACGTGACGTGATCAACTCGTAGGCTCGTTCGCAGTCGTTTTTGACGCACACGGTCCCGGCATACATTCTTACGAGTGGAGCAAATGAAACTTTTTCAAGACTGTATGTCAAACATTTACATTTGTGTATGTGAGATAAATATTTAAGAATCGTTTTAGTTTGTATTAAAATGACTGGCTATGAATAAGAAATGTGACATACTCATAACAACAACACACGAGTCAAATTATATTTTTAATGATAATATCCAGAAATACGCTGGTTTTGGAGAATGTTTTTTTAATCTTGCAAAACGGCCTCATCCTCCCACAATTGGATGTTTCCTGTTTGACCTTCCTTCGACGCGCACACAAAGGAAGTGAGATGATAAGCTGAATTCAGTGCTGTGTGGCCAACGCCCGAGACATATTGTTGAACACCTAACTCACTATAATGCTTTAGAATGTGGCTGTTTCCGAGTGTATAACGTCACTAATACAGCGATAATACCTCACATGAAGCAAATGTTTTTTTATTAGAGCATCACTGGAAGTTTGCAGATTTAAACCTAAGAATTGATAGATCGATATGAACATGGACATGATATTAAAGTGCTATTGAATCGCACTTAATGGTTTGTTTAGTATCTACAGGGAAATACAATAATCACCAAAAACATGAAAATCCACTTTTAGTCGATACATTGCAAATGACACTCACCCATCCCAGAAATCAGCGACAGCTAAAGCATACAACCATTTTTTTACTGACATTTAATTGGCAGTACTTCTAAAGGTGCGATGTGATTTAGTGAGTTATAGCACGTGCTAAAATGGATTCTAGTATGTCGATAATATAGACAAGGGATTGACTAGACGATATAGGTTGAATACGTGTTTAATGCCAGAAAATCACGTTTCAATTCCAACTTAATCAATTATTAGGCCAAGAAAGTGAGAGACATTATTGGCGCAATTATTTTAGTTGATAGTTAGGTTGGTGTCAGATACAGATATCGCCTGTAGTGTGTACACGTCCAAATCAGATTATATGCTAAGAAAATTAGGTAATGTGTGTGCAACACAACTTCAGTATCACTGTCACGTAACCACCGCGACGTTTTGACTCACACTATACGTTGCAGTGTGTATGACTAATCCGTAAACAAAATGTGCAAACATTAATTGGAGCACTTCATATGTCACAAAAAGCACAACCAAGGAGTTCATAATTATAAATATATCAGCCTTATTTCTGTACATGCGTATTACTGATTTCTCATTTCGCATGTTTTGTTGAACTGACAGTTTCGTAATATTTTTTATTTTAAAGTTCGCCCGGTAATGTTTGTTGTTCCTGTCAAATATACCATTCATGTAAATCGCTCCATTTGTTGATGGAACTCTTCTGTGACGTCAAAATGACATGTATGGATAGAGGCAATTCCATTCGAACCGACTCGTGTGTTTGATTGTGTAGTCGTTTTTTATAAGGATATAGTAGATTCTCTCAAAAACATAATGTTATTCGATGAACGAATATAGATATATATACACGTTTCTCGCGGTCTTTGTGTGTATTATTTACGTCATTTTAGTGCTTTGTCACTAGGTGGCGCTTGATTTTAGGAAAGGTTTTATAGATCCTCCTTTTGAACCAGATTTAACCAGATTTTCTATTTATTTACAAAACTTGATAACTAAAATGAAAAAATATGGATAATTTGCGGATTTGACAAAACATCATTGCTTACATTGGGAGGCAAGTTGGAATACTTGATCTACATTCCTAGGAGAATGTCTGGAGTATTATCACACTCTACAATATATTATAATATTGCATAGCTTCAAGGGATTTGTACCAACAATTCGTAGCAACGAATGTAGTTTATCAATACATCTCAAACGATACGCACGAAATGGAACAAGGATTACGCGTTATGTAATTTATTTGGTGTTCGGTTACGAGACGTTTCACGTTGCCTAATCATTTGAATGCGATTCATTTATTTGAGAAAATGGTTCTCTATCTAGAAAATGCGATTACCATCGCTCCATGTTGATCATTCTTTAAATGCGTGTCACATTTCGTTTCAGAATGTTGTTAATTAAAATCAAACTGCCTGAATTAGTGCTACATATGTGATAAGCATGTTTGTTGAGAATACAGTGTATCAGACAACGCTATTATCAGCTCCTGCAATATGCACATACACGATTAGATAATTGTGGGGAACACGACTTATCACATTACACGAGATTAGTTTTAATGGAATATAAGAGATTGTAACGCGCAACTTAGAACTATACACAGTACAATGACTACCTATGATTAAGTAATATCTATTTGCAAATAACAATCTACCAGAACAAATAACAGTCATTTGTGTATGCAGCTCGCTATTCTACGAACGTACAGTGGCGTGTAAGACGTACCTTCAGCTCAGATTTCAAATGCCTTAGCTTGTAGTTTGGATAGACACACACACTTCAATGCGATTGTTTGATCGTCTCCAGTCCACAGATTCACAACGCACACCGTATGTGTGTTATAAAATAAGCTAAGCGCAATTGACCCCCGCGTGGCAATCTTATATAGTACGTAATATTGACAGTTTGATTGACGTGAACATCCTTAAAACCCACCCCCACACCACTGTCAATGACGCCAACACAATCACTGCAGTTTCCCCGATGATGAGTAAATACTTCCGATAAAAATATAACTTGGAAATCCACCCAGCAATATTATGTGTTAACTATTAAGTGTAAAGATCAAGATCTTACCTAACATGCGGATTCGTACAGTTCTGTCCGTATTTTTAACGTCTCACTTACACTATGTCGAAACGTGCCTGTCCCTGTGTAACAATGCAACACAACGGTCGAATGAATACACCGTGGTACGATCTTTTTTATATTATCTCGTAACTTTGCTCTAGCTTTATAACACAGAGGCATGTGCTAAATACGACTCGTTCATTCAGTCGAACGGGGTGGAGGCTCGTATAGTGAGGGGTATTTCAGCATTATCAAGAAGAAATGGAACAAGTTGTTTTAATCTCAACGTGCGAAAGCACTAAGCCGTCTTTTTGGTTTTATTAATTGACCCTCTAAAACCCTCGTACTTCTGAATTCTAATATTTGTCGCGATCGAAGCAAAAATCGCAAATTTGAAAAGTTCAGCCACTCACGAACAATTAAAAACACATATTTTCACGGGAAATACAGCGAAGCACCAATACATGCTTTTTATGAAGTGGAAAATAAACATTATATATAAAAATGGTAGTTATGTACTGAGTGTCACAGTGTTTCGACATCACTTTATGATACATCACACTATTTTAAATTGTCTGCTCATCCGTGTTTATATACCGCATAGGTGTTATTCGAATGTAAAACTGTTTACACTACGATATAGTTTGGTTTTATAGAAATATGTGATTTCCGATCGTTTTCTTATCACCATCATTTTTTTTTCAAATCAGTGGGTATTTCGGAGTCGACGGATTATTTCTGAACATACGTCCGTGACGCTGACATGTCAATGAATACATTTATTTGAAATAGTTCAAGTTCATGTACACTTCAAAACTACATTTAAATGTGATTGCACTAAACTTACCACTTCTCTAGTAACCCCCAATCGCGGAGAATATAATACTTTCACGCCAGTGGGTCATTGTTTTAAAACTAATGCACCATTTTTGGTCATCAACACGTTTCCTGTACTCAGCTAATGCCTTGCTCACAGAGGAAATGACATAAATGAAACGGTAATTTGGAAGCGTATTGGTAAAATGATTTGATGGTTTTCTGAACACTTTTTTATGCTACAGCCTTGTCAGTCCAGATTAACAATTGGTTTAGTATAAGGCAAAGATGAGTACCAACGTGAAACCAGTGGCAGATTAAATGTCAGCGACCCTGTATTGGTTTTAAATATATATATATTTAGAGAAGACGAGTGACATTATAATATCACAATTGTAGTAAATTTAATATATCTGGGACTGTGCGATAAGAAAGTGAAAACTACTACACGAGTTTAATAAACCTGATTTTGTAGTGTTGTGAATTTGTTATAGTCAGTTTGTCACATCTGATCATTTCGAAGCTTCTAAAGACTAAGCCCAACGCAGTGATCGCTGTTCGTAATCGCGTATACAAGACATCTAAGAGCGTTCTGGTTCATGTACATAAAATACCAATTACGGCCAGTTTACCATATAGCTACTAGGAAATGACGCGTTTTAGCTGACATCTGGTAATTGTCCGAAATATTTTAATTATTAGAATTTCTGATAATAATTCATGAAATATTATACAAAACCACCGACATATTGAGATATAAACGTAATTTGTGATACTGAATGCTAGGTTCGTTCATTTCTGTAACACACGTATCTGTGGACAGATGAGTAATAATGAATAGTAAATGGCACGTTAAATTAAACAATATTGCTGTGGTTATTCGTGCAACAACTACCAATTTGATTACAAAACAGGAAAATATTTATATATAGTGTTAACATCTTTCACAATACTATATACTCGTTAAATTGACTCTTGTTTTCTAACACACATTATAATACCTTTCGCTGTTAATTAAAACTAATGTCTTCACTTCAATTTAACAAAACTTGTAGAACTCCACGCATAAAAATGAGAGTAAAATCAAGCCCTACTGTAGATTTTATTCAGGTTAGTGAAAGTTTGACAATATAAACAAAGAAACAAAAAGTATGTTCGTTTTAATCGCATATGTCAAAATTGGCAAAACAAATTGCAGTGTGAACCAACTAATAGTATATTACGTGTTTAATACATACTATGCTTTCTTTGCCATCGCTCGATAAATCAACAAAACAAATCACTGTTCAGATAATATCGTGGTTTGGGTTTGCACCATTTCAATTGATTAATATTTGAATTGGACACGAATGCGGTAAATTCCAAGAGGCGTCGATATAAACGTTTTGCCACTCAGTTACTCTAACCTAAGAACACACTCCCATAGTCATATTTTCACGGCCACTCACTTAAATGAACATTTGTACACGCGTATGAATGGAAATTATAATAAGTAATATATTATATCCTGTCAATATAGTGTACGACCTTTACATTTCATACAATACTGCTACAATCCAAGGTTATGACAAAAATCACTTAATGCCCATCAAAATAATATTATCTCTATACAACGATGACGCTATTTTTTGAGTGCATTGTACTTGTGTGAACCACCGAAAACGACAGTGGTATGAGGGTAACAGAAAACAGACTGTGATTTTTCAGACTAGAGTGTCATATAAAAATTGCTATAACAAGCCAAGATCAGGTACAAAATAGCCATCATGTATGTACCTATTCTATAAATGTAATAATTATACAAATCTACGATTTAAAAGCTTATGATGAAGGATACGTTAAGCAAAACTGTGAGTTATACATACATACATACATACATACATGCATGCATACATTGTTGTTACTACTTGATTATTAACCTCTGTCATTAATGATTCAAACAAAATAATAAAACACGTACGCGTTAGTCATTACTGGACCTGTATTAGTCATTGATATGCTTCCGATTATTGTCGCTTTGTGCAAAATCAATTAGGTCAATATTTGTCTTTTTTCGGAACGCGATTTTCAAACATCACGGAATCTACGGTCTAATATCAATGAATCATCAACATGTTGACAATAAAGTGAATTGCAAGCATGCAAAGCACGAGTTAAATCAGGTGTTTTTCTAACGTGAGTGAATAACGAGAAGTAAATGTGTTATATTTGTTAAGTCGCGTGTCAATTAGTCCAAATCTACTGCGAAAATGAAAATTGAAACTATGTTAATCTGAAAATGGAATGTGTGTTTTTAAATTTCCTAATAATTTCCATACGATTGTTTCGACTTCGAATCTCTAGGAAACGTGTGGTAAAGATGCTGAACCAGTTGCAATTTGCATTGAGTGGCACAGTCTGTACTTAGCGAAGAGGCTTGAATACATATCCTTTACACTTTCAACAAACTAGACAGAATATCAAGAATATATCAGATTCTGCGATTCTAGAATTTTCTAAATATCAATGCTTTTGTATTACATTATTTTGTTATCCACGACACAATGCTGTTTAGAAAATACCTGTCGCTTGTCATATCTAGTTCATAACCCCGTTTAGTAATTCTGATCTATTAGGCATATCCCTGATATGACTGGCATCATTTCCATTTACCGCCCATCACTCGGCAAGTCAAGCAACAATAGACGTATTAATGTGGTTCGCTTTCCGTGTACGCTCGATTGAAGTTAACTGCTTCATCATAATTGCTGCATTGATTACAATGTAATATAACTTGACACTAAAAGCTAACTATATGACTGAGTGACAATAAGAAGATGACCCCGAGGTCACATCGCATCATTTTGGTATTACATAGAACAATTGATAGTAGTTCTATTAGAACACTTTCGAAGATGGAAGTACAATTCTCATTACGTGCGTTGTTATCGATCCTGACTTCACTTACAACAAAGCACGAATTGTGTATTTTGTATTCTGTGGACAGTAAATACTGTTCATGTTTGACAAATGCACCACATTCACCGGGTCTATCAGTAGCATTAGAGTATATACACGATTAGACACAATATTATTTATTGTGAGCTTTGAAGTGTTTCAAAACTTTATTGTTTTATCTGTATAAACACATATTATGATTTAAAGTGTCTTTAAAATATAGAATCGTTCATTTATTTGAAGATTGTGGAAAATTATTAGACTGTTATCGTTTTATATTCTCACTCGTAAATGTGCATTGTTTAGACTGCTCACGGCGTGGTATGGTGAATCATTGTGAAGCCATAAAACAAACGATTTATTTGATAGTTATATTTAAAGAATCATCTTGAATCAAATACTCGACTTTGATGTTTACTTTCTTTTACTGCAATATAGCTCACTCAATTATTTTAGTACAGTTAAGAGTTTCATCATTCTTTAACATGTACATATCAGAATTGAAAAGTTTAATGACACAATGTACAAACATAATGCTGAAAGATTATTAATCATTAATAATTAAACATAATCATGCTACTAATTAACTATGGAGTCGTTTTAAATTATATATAATTCACGTGTTGCTAATAACACAATGGACATACGTTGTTCCTTGTAGTAATATAAGTTAATCACATGCCCGTAATATTGGCCGATGTAGTGCGTTATTTTTATACGATTATATGTGATTACATTCGCATAAAACGCATTAACAATGAAAATGAACAAGCACGGTTCAATTTGCCAATCTATGTGCAGAATTTACAACAACTCTAAATGATTCCATGACACATCTTCTAATTTTCTGAAAAAAACAACGATGTCCTAAAATACCCAGGTTTCAAAAATAACCCCCAGATGTAACGGTGAAAATGTCGGTCAAATTTCCACTTAACGAGTGGTGAACTGTGTTAGCTAAAACCATAAAACGAAACTCGATAAATTGCAATATGTGCTGTCCATCATCTCAGTGTCACTGACGTCATACCAGTAACAGACTGAGACAGTGTATATCAAGCATAAATTAGCGATGATGTGTCCATGAATAATTAATTGGCAGTAATGAAAACAAGAAATTTTTCAATATTGTAAATTTGTTGATACAGCGAGTCTCTTATTGCAACGTGTTCTAAATCAATTGATTATTTTCTTATTTTCTTTCATGTGCGTAATTTAAGCAGATTATATCATGCGATTTGACCAAATTCAAACATCTGATGACATCGGACTCTCAAACACCGGACACACCCAAACATGAATATGACTTGTGGCAAAAATGCACTATATGTAAGAACTTGCAAACTTGCACATACAAAATAGTCA